AATTTCCGCCAGCCCGGCTTTGGAGCCCCCCCCCCCCCCCCCCCCCCCCCGTTGACTGCCATGCCACGAACAGACACCTTTCCATTTCATCTACAACCTCTCACGAACTAGGCTCCGTACATTCTTGACAACCCTTCCATTTGCCTCTATTCCATACGAACTCTTCCCTTCTGTTCTTCACCTCCGCTACCTCTCCCCTAGTCCTTACAAACCAGGCACTTCCTTTTATCTTGACCACCCTTTCCTTTACGTGCGGCTTCTCTTGTGTTTTCTTCAGGCGGAGGTTCCGGCAGGGTGGGCGTGGAGCGCCCCGGCTTGGACCATCGTGGGCGGCGACTGCCCCCGGGACAAGGATGGGTGGACGTACGGCACTGACGGCAGCTTCTCGTCGCTTCTCGCCGATCGCACATCGGGAGTAAGGCGAGCTACAATAGCTAGGGGATAGGGGATTAGGGTTGGCGGCGGTGTATAGGGTTGGTAAGGACGTGGTGGTGAATATCTTGCCAACGGGACCGAACAAAAACGAACAAAAAGAGGACGTGATTGATGTACGGATCAGTTATGTTGCGATTTTGTGACGTGTTTTATTCTTCGAGTAACGCGTAGGGGTGTTGAGATGGCCTTACCCTTGTTTTTGAGAAGGAGTGCTTTGTATTGCGTGCCGCTCAATGAGTCATCTTCCAATACAGGGACCGCGGCAGTGTGTGCAGGCTTTTGTACGTTCTCTCGTCTCCAATTGAAGAATGGTTTATTTTGTTGTGCATGTATATGTAGCTGGCCATTTCCACACAAGCAGTCGAAGTTCGACCCGTAGAAGAAGTGGCGTGTTCCGTCCACGCGTTCCCACTGGCTGCTGGTGTCAATGACGGTCCACATGTTGAACCAACTGTGAGCTGAACACCATCCAAGACGCGACAAGCACTTGCACAGATGCAGCAACCAACCAACAGCCGTTGCAATTTCGAAAAGGTGTGTCAAATGGGCGCCAGAATAGACTGCACCAGCACACCACACATCTACCTCTTCGCCCCTCACACCTCTATCTATGACACCCCGTCCCGCCCCCCCCCCCCCCGCCCCCCCCGCACACGACGAACGCCTTCACAACACACAGCAAAGAGCAGAAGGGGACTGCCGTTCGATGCCGGAGGTGGGTCCGCCCCCTCCAGCGCACCGGGGTCGTGGCCAGCACGCCGGCCTTGCCCCCGCGCACCGGTGCCGCGGGGGTGACAGCGGGGGCGGCAGAAGGAGAGGAGGTTGCGGCGACGGTGGAAATCCCCGACGGGTTGAAGCCGTTCTGCCGGCCGGAGTTGGACGGAAGAGTGGTGGCCCTTGTGCACGAGAACCAGGCAAGGGTTCGGGGAGGGGGGGGTCCTTTTTAGTCTGCTCCCCTGCCGGCGTAGCACCGTCATCACTGCTGTTCAAGAATGGGATCTCAACACTCACTACTACTGCTGTATTGTAGCGACTTCCTTCAAGATATAGCTTCGATAGGGTGGGGTATTCTGTCGAACGGGCAGTCATTCTGTGAATATACGTATATTTTCTGGTCCCCTCATTCCCCTCACGTCCATCTGTGTGCCCCCCCCCCCCCGCCCGCGACCAGGCCCCCTTGGCTCAAAAGGGGACTAATGCCCCCGGGAATGGGAATGTAAGCCAATTTTTTGTGAAATTATCCCCCAAAACCCCCACCCACATTTCCTCACGGGGCATGGGCCTTTCACA